GCAAATAAGTAACTAATTAAAAATTAATATATTTTAAAAATATTACAGTTGAATTCAGAGATGCAATCCAATTTATCCAAATGATAACTAAACCAACCGTAAAACAACAAAATTGACTAGATATAACATATATAAAATTACAGTATAAGTAAAGTAATATAATACTATTAATATAAATGATGCATACAAATTATAAATTTATTTAAAATTAAAAGTAAATAATAATCAATTATTATTATATACTTAATTTAAAAATATTTATACCCGTGCATGAGCACGGGAAAATCACCTAGTATAGAATACCAATGGAGCACTTTTACTCTAAAACTCTATTTTAGAGTGAAAAATATAGTGGGGTTGGAGATAGCCTTATCATATTTATATTCCCCATATCTCGTACTGGCCTTGATATAGCTTCTGCTTCAGCACTCAATTTGCTGTTCCTGATGGCGAATACGATGATGCAAAAGCTGTTGAAGTTGTTGTTGTTGTTAAAATTAACATAGACACCCTACTACACACTCGTGGGACCGACACGCTATTGTGGATTATCTCACGAGCATTCTATGTACCATCTGGAAAAATTCAAGGATCTTATATGTGATATTAAAGTTAATGAAGTCATTGCAGACTATATGCAAACTCTTCAAGTACTCACTTGCTGGAAAAGTTTTTCATTGGCTTAAGTAGTTACTACCAGGATCTCTGACATCATTGACAGAGATTATCTCATGAGTCACGTGCTGAAGACTTGAGGAGCAAGATTGCTATATTCACACAGAGCCTACAGAGTCATTCAAGAACTTCTAGATCAGATTCAAGTTTTTTCAGAGAGACTGTCCACACCATGGATTCAATGAAGTGCAATTGCTCAACACTTTCTACAGAGGCATCGCTTTGCAGTATCAGATGGCTCTAGACACAGATAGTGAAAGAAACTTCAACACTAGGAATCCATAAGAGGCTGTGAGACTTATTGAGAACTTGGCATCTAGCAATAGTACCAAAAATGCTGATTTTGAAAGAAGAAAATCTACTGATGTTCTTGGGAAAGAACAAATGGAAGAAGTGAAGACAAATTTGGATGATGTCCATAAGCTTCTTAGGAAGCAGGTTTACTTTGTAGAAGATGTAGAATCCATAGCATGGAAAACTACGCAGAAATAGAGGAAGATGTGAACTTCATCAGTGGCACTGGATTTCAGAGGTCTAGAAACTAGTATGGAAACATAAACTTCTATGGGAATTGACAGAGAAGTATTTACAACCAGAGTTCACAGTACCAGAGACCCTAAAACAACAACAGTAAGAGCTATGGAAGCTCATCTTACCAGAATCCACCACCACAGATTCAAAAAAGTAAAATAGAACCTATGCTTAATCAAGTGCTTGAAGGTCAGAGAAGCTCACAGTGGATTTCAGTGAGAAGATTGATTTTGTCTACAGCACCCTGAGCACAAAGTTTAAGACTTTGATCACTCATGTGAAGAAGCTAGAGATGCAGGTAGTTCATATAGGAGAAGCTGTTAAGAGGCAGGAAGCCTCAGGAAAAAGAATAGGAGGTGAGATGATGAAACACCACGTAAATGCCATCATAGATGATGAATTCTGGCAAGTGGTTAAGTATGAGAAGCTTCAAGAAGGAGATTTCAAAGTTGAAAGCTCCATGAGTTTCGGCGGATCGGATCACCAAGTGACAACCATCGATCGATGGATTCTAGTGAAACACGATCGGTGGAACCTTCTCATCATCGATCGACGACTCCCACAGATTCTGTTGCGTCATGCAATGCGGTGAAAACCATGACCCACAAGGAGTTTGCAAAAAACCACCCATACACACCCAAACCCTTTCACCTCAACATCGATCAATCCATTTCACCAGCAATCGATCGATATCAAGATACCAATGACGATCGATACTCAGCAGCACCCATCGATCGACATGCCCCTCTTATCTACCGAGTGCAAACACCACCGATTTATGCAACACGAATTGAGACACTCAGGAACACGACATATGACACCAATACACGTTCAGACTATGTACCAGATGATATGGAAGTTGAGGATGTCAAAATAGAAAGAACTTTCAGAAAAAGGAAAGAAAAGGTTCCAAAGCATCTGAAAAGAAAAGTCAATGAAATTGAACTGGATAGTTTCATAGAACGAGTATTCCCATACATAAGCCATTCGAGGAGACTTATTATACCCTTAGATTTTGGATGTGCTTAAGAGAAACTTGTGAAACAAAACAAGACATTGAGAGATTCTTCAACCCGATCAGAGACAAGATGAGAAGCATGATTACATTGAAGAAGAAGAGTGATCCAGGGAAGTTTGCAATTCCCTGCTTGGTCAAGGGTATCAAATTTCCACATGCTTTATGTGATACATGAGCTTCACTCAGCATCGTACCAAAGGTTATGGCAGATCACTTAGGTCTAAAGATAGAGCCGTCAAAAGAATCATTCACTTTTGTGAATTTTTCTCAGAGAAACTCAGGAGGAATCATCAAAGACTTGGAGGTGCATATTGGTAATGCCCTAATCCTAGTTAATTTCCATGTTTTGGACATCAAGCTGAGCAGAAATTCTTCTTTATTACTAGGGAGAGCATTCATGGCAACTATTGGAGCCGTTTGTAACATGCAAACCAACCAGTTGTGCCTAATCCTAATAGATCCACATGTTCTACTATGACCCTGACCACACCACATCACGCTGTCTCCTCGTCTCTCATATTTTTGCGTGAGAACTCACCACATCACGCTGCCTCCGTGAGTTCTATGCCTTCATGCGATCACGCTACATCACGATGTCTCCACGTGATCCGCACCACAACATTCACATGTTCATGCCACATCACGTTGTCTCCACATGAACTTTGCTACCACATTCTTCCTGCTCGCCGACTGATCCTATTGCGGCAAAAGAAAAATCGAGAACACAAGAAGCAACAATAGGGAACACGTCCTTCCTGCTCGCCGACTGATTCTATTGCTGGTCAAGTGATCCTATTCCGCTCAAGAAACCTGCTAAAAAGTTTCATGACTAGATCTCGGTGAAATAACCTTTGGTAAAACTCTGTGAGTGACTCCAAGAAACTATCACCGAAGAATCAGAAAGGTTTCACAAAAATTTGCGGAAGCATCGTTGTTGACATCTCCATACGTCTCGTCAAATTCGTCGCCCGTTACTTATGCAAGAAGTCCTTCGTATAGTCGAAGTCCTTGACATACGAAGTAACTTTCGAAAGTAAACGTAACAGGTTTTTCGAAAAGTACTTTCCATATAGCAAAGCCATACGATCCGACGCTGGACGACCAATCTAAACTTTGTTTCCTCGCACCACGATCTGAAAGATCTCATTATTTAGCCCTTCGGTTCACGAGCATCCACTCTCATTCCTCTCGATTACATCCAAGAATGAAACTACCCCGCAAACAACTCCGCACGGGCTCTACATCGAGCTTCTTAGGCTTTGTCTCCCTCGGGTAGAAACAACTTCCATACGAACAAAGGAAAGATTATACGAAACTTTCATCGTATAAATCGAACCTAAAATGGAAAAATGTTTTCTACGACCACGGGCATACTTGGCATATCAATCTCGACAAACGC